ACCATAAAATTTCACACATCACAAAGAGCATGCTTAGCAGCATAGAGTTATGCTGATATAACATCAAAGGAACAAAATGAATAAACACCAAACAATCAGGGAGAGAGAAACTAATTCCTTTGTTAACCAACATGGATTCATAAAATGTACAAAATAATCTCATAGAAGAGAACTAATTGCTCATGCAAAGCAAATGGGCAGTGAAAAAATTGTTCTTATATATTCGTCATGAAGCAGAAGGATATTATCATGTTTGGCAACCCATTTATCATGCGTGTTAGCAGGATTGAACCTAAAGAAGGAGATTATACACAATTCAAAAAGTATGGTAACTTCAAAGCTTGTCTGGAAATAATACGAGAAAGAAATCATGATGAAGCCATACAATCTACACATAACCTATTGTATCTAGGACACTAATATTTGTCAGAATATTTTTCAGCCTTTTCAAGAGCATAAAGAGGCAGGCAAATACCATTGTATATCTATAACTTAATATGTTTGAATGGACGCAGTTTGGGGAAAAGCTAAGCTATTGGGCAGCAAGCAAGGGACATCAATGGCGAGTTACAAATTTAAGCATCACTTTAATAGATGGAAATAAAAGTTAAGGGGCAAACCAATACCCCAAATTTCTTTGAAAATAATCCTATCGCTGAGAAAAATTACACTGCTCCGCTAAAGATTAAAAAAATGCAATTGGTGGTGCTGCATTTCATTGTAATAAAATGACAAAGTAAGAATGTATGTGGAAATAAATATAAAAATTTACAATTAAAGTGAATGCCTTGTATTGCAGAAGTTGTAGACGAGCTGTTTCACGTCATGGTGACTATTAATCATGTCATGGGCACAGGATACCATTACGCTTAAAAGTGATGTGTACAAAGAACTGAACAACCTTAGCAATATAACTAACCAAAGTTTATTTTAATTATTTTGCATATTCTATCCTACCAATTGCATCAATTATTATGGTAAGCCCAAGTAATTGCGAAGGCAAAATTTGTTTGTGATTTTATGTCAAGTTATGATTTTTATAGTTTTAGTTTGCAGTTTTGAACTCATGTCAGCCATCAAAGTTATTATTTCTATCCTTTACCAGTTTATGAAATATTATATGCATTAAAATCTAACTTCGATACCTCATTTGTTCAATTATTTTATTGTTCTGGGTTATGGACACTTTGCCACATGAATCAGCAAAAAATTCTATTACAAATCACTTTATATATAAGATGATAGGTAGAGGGTAAGCTGACCATAAATGCACTAGAGTCTAAGAATAACATTGAACAAAACAATTGCAACCTTGGAAACATAATCATTTTTTAAAAAAATAATACTAAATCAAACACATGAAATTTGATACATGGCACTGACATCTAATAACATTGATATCTTTTTGACATCTAGCACTAAGACAGGAGGATAGAAAAAAAATTAGCACTGCAAAAAAACCCCTAAGGTTCATTTCAGCGGTCAATCAGAAAAATATCAACAGCATATTGATTTCTTGTGCATGAATAATATTTCATTGCAAATACTAAGACAATTGAGATGACATGGCTTAATTTCGTAATTTCATTGAGCCACAAATTATTCAGAGATAAAGGCATCTCAAAACTCATTCAAAATTCATGAATAAATTTCTTCCAAAAGCAACCAGCTATAGGTTGTGAAGGCACTTTGCTGCAGCAATGTAAACTTTATCCAAATAATAAGCATTTCAATAAGGAAGGAAAATCCTCTCTTTTATCATCATCATTAGATTTATGTCACTTAGCACAATTACCAAGTACTTTATATAAGCTCCAAGAATCATCCTATTACATTCATGACCATGATGGCCAAAGTGTTACCTCTATTTCGTACAAATCTTTTTGCACAGTTTCAAACATTAAAGCATCTTCAAGTCTCCATCATATAATCTCAAAACGCTTAAGCATATTTTGTATTACTTTATTTTCAAAAGACAATACTATGTTTTTTTTTCCCCCTAAAACATCATCTCTCACGAATTCCTTCCGAGTTATATTGTATATCTTTCCTGACATATTCATTTTGGCATGCCCAACTTAGCTATTAGTGAGTTATTATATCATCACTGTCAGCTTTTTCCAAAATATTTAGATTATCATTACAGATTGTTTTCCATTCCTTCGTAAGGATAGCTGTATGCAGTGTTAACATTAAATTAAACATATGTTTACATTAGCCAGATACATAAAAACATGAAATTTATCCTTAAATACTTTAATCAGAGCAAAGTATATTTGATTCACAAAGAAACTTGAATGCTAGAACAAAGTTCGATTCTTCTTTGTGTGTGTGTGTGTGTGTGTGTGTGTGTGTGTGTTAAACAATCAAACTTCATTTCAGTTTACTCAAACCTGTTGTACAGTCCATGTGGGTCACATCCATGGAGAACTCTTCCAGATAATACAACAACAACAACAACAAGCTTTTATCCCACTAAGTGGGGTTGACTACATAAATCCTTTTTCTCCATTGTGTCCTATTGACAGACATATTTTCATTTAATTCTAATAGATTAAGATTATTTTTTATACAATAATCCCAAGTCTTTTTAGGACTACCTTTGTCTTTCTTAATATAAGACGAATCTAAAGCATCTACTCTCCTAACCGGATCATCAAATGGTCGACGTTTAATTCAACCAAATCATCTAAGATAAATCTCTCTAATCTTGTCTGCCACTGAAGTTAAACCAACACTATCATGGATATATTTATTTTGCATTTTATCTCAAAGTGTCAAGCTACTCATCCAGCTAAGCATTCTCATCTCAGCAGCACTTTACTTTGTTTTATGCTTCTCTTTTAAAGGACAACAATATTTGTCATAGAACATTGTAAGTCTCACCATTATCTTATAAAATTTTCCTTTCAGTCTGAGAGGTAATTGTCTATCACACAATAGGCCTGATGCATTCCTCCACTCAATCAACCGACTTAAATTCTACTAGTAACATCCACGTCTATATCACCATCACCTTGAACAATAGACCCGAAATATCTAAAACGTTCACACATTTTAATGATTTAATCACTCATAGTTACAACTCTGCTACTAGAGATACTACAACTAAAATTACATTTCATATATTCAATTTTAGAACTACTCAAATTAAGCCCTTTATACTCCAATGTAGACCTCCATAATTCAAGTTTTTTCTGAACTCATTCTCTAGTCTTATCCAAAAAAAGAATATCATCAGCGAAAAGCATAAACCAATGTACATCCTCCTGTAAATGTCCAGTAAGAGAATCCAAAACTAAAGCAAAAGGATATGGGCTTAAAGTCGATCCCTGATGTAATAAAATAGAAAAATGAAATAAGAAAATACAGTCATGTCAACAATAAATAAAAATTTTTAGTTTTGAGAACATCACCAGACATGCAAGCCATTCCAACAGTATCCAGCAATTCAAATATTACAATGTAAGCAATTGCAAGAAACTATAAATTATTTTCCCCGTTGATGAAATGCTTTCATTCATAGTTATCGGATAAATTAACACCATCTTGTTAGTGATTCAACCATTTACCAGCAGCCGCGAGGATTCTCCACCCACAACAAAATAGTTTATGATGTAGAGATAAATGATAGTGCCTAAACAATAATGAAGAAATTTCCAAGTAGAAATCATCTATTAATCAAAAAAATAAGGACATTAACAAGAGAAAGCCCAAGTACAGGTAGAGAAGTTTGATTTCCTAGCCCTAGAAAAGCAAGGTTAGAGAAAACCAAGTAGACATTCTTAAATTATTCTAGAAAATGAATAGATCTACAAACTGTACTAAGTAATCAGCATTTTACATAACAACGCATAAGACAATCTTAATAAGAGTTTTAATTACAAAAAGTTGAAAAAATTTCTGCAGTTCCTCGTGCCCTGTATATATACATCCATGCATATACAAACACAAACATAGTGCATCACCTTTTAGGGACCTTTGAGCAATCTTGCTTCAAATAAAAAGTTTTAATACAACTCCATTTCCTTCTTAAAAACCATAAGAAAAAGAATGCAAGCATGAAGGAGTGTCATAATCTCATTTCACAATATCTCCCGAAAAACCTATCCCTCCACCCACACCATACCACAGTAACAACACTTTTTACAGACAGAAACAGGAAAAAGCACAAAGCGGATAAAGTAAGGAGGAATGGCTCCAGACAAGATTACGGTCATGTGATAAAAGAGTTCAAGGCTTCTGAAACCAAAAATACAGCAAGCTAATCAGGTTTTTGGGATAAACTCTGGCTAACTACAGGGCTGCTTGCAAAGATAGGTAGTCCCACAAGGAGGCAGTCACTAACATCACCTCATAAATTTCCTGAAAACATCCTTTGTCCGTTAAATAATCTTCTTCGCTCGGAGCATGAGTAGCACAACAATTCCTCACCTTCTTAACGAAATTGAAACTAAAACTCCCACTATTATCTCCATCCAACCCTTAAATGCTGAAATCAATTGCACTACACGAGTTGAATGACACTTACAGAGATCCAGAAAAGAACGAAATTTTACCTATTTCTAGGAATAAGTAACGCGAAAGTGTAGATCTTCAGCAGTTGCCAGCACCAACAGCCATCAATAAGCACAGATTTATGAAAATTGACAACATAAACAGGGAAGATGAACGGATTGGCTTCCAAGCCAAACCAAAGGACAGAGTTAACAAACCCACCTAATAAGTTCAAGATCAATACCAAACACCAGGACAAACGCAAAACTGAACGAAATACTCGCTGGACTCCCCGCAAAAGTCCCAGACCAAAACCTAAGCTTTATAAAATATATACAAGTAAATCCATAAAGTGATCAGATAAAAGCGCGCGCACATGCTCACATGCTATCTCGATGTTCGATTTTCACGAGACAAGGGTGGGTTCGATTAGGTAAGTTTTGGATAAAGTAACGATGATAAGGCTAAGAAACCGAAGGTTAAAAACGGGGAAAGCTACGTACCCGGGAGAGGATGGATCGAGTGCAGCTAGGGTTGTCGAGGTCGGAACTGTGCTCGCTCAATCGTCTCCCTCCTGGAGTTCACCTAGCTGTCGGGATCGGAGTAAGCGGAGTAAAGCGAGCGAGCGAGCGAAAGAGGGTGACGTCGTGAGTGAGGCCGGAGCAAGCCTCGCGACAATCGGAGGCGCAAAACCGTTTCTATTCTTTGGAGGTATCTGTTTTTTCTTGAAGGAGACGGCTTGGACGAGGACTGATTGCTGCGTCGGAAAAAAAGAGCAGCTTGGTAGTCACGCAGCTGCAGCCGCCCGGACAGTCATGTAGTAGCATGGCAGCTATATTTTTTTGGGGCATTTATCAATGTCTACGTTACTATGTATTTACATATGTAACACCATAATTTTAATTTTAATTTAATTTTTTTTTTCAACAAATTTTTTTATATAATATGAAAAATATTATTATTTTAATTTATACCAGGTGAAATGCATATTTTCATGAATATATTAAAGGTTTATAGTTAGATATGTAAGTATAAAAGCTTTTAAGCGGTATATTTGTAAATAAATCAACCTTTTGATAATTTTAAACAGGGATAATTTTTAAAACAATATTTGTATGAGATTAGAAAGTAGAACCATAAATAAATTGAGCCAGTCAATGCAGTAAGGTGCATGTTCGTACCCGAACACGTTTGTTTGTCTTTTTTTTTAAGTATACTCGACCTCGGCTCGAACTCTAATCAAGCTTTTAAGCCTATGTTCGAGTTCGTGTTCATTAATTTGAGTTTGATTCACATAAAAATTAGTAATCTTATTAACGAACTGTTTGTTTATCAAAATAAATGAGGCATAATTGAATGGTAACCAAGCTTTATCCGAGTATTTCTCGAGTTTTATACGAGCAAATTGTTAGGAAAAATATGTTAGTCATGTTAAACGAAATTCGACGAGCTTAAAAATGCATACTTGATTAGCACAGTTCATGAACAAGCTATGATCGATCTTGTGCAGTTGTGCACAAGCTTATTCATAGGAGAACTTTGACTCTTTCCCTTCATA